TAGTCTAGGATAATAATTTTGGAGTATAAACGTATCTTCCTGGGCTTAAGGAATACATTGGGTCAATTCAAGTCCTGGGTTTAGGTGGTGTAGTGTTTAACGCCATTTAGATCAGTGTAACACTGGTGTAACGCTGCGCTAACTCAACCTCAGACCCGTTCTGTGGTGTTGAGATTGTGTTAAACAAGGATATATACTGAGCGCCATGGAAAACGCATCACTTTTTTCCCAAAATATTTTATTACTAGGTGGTTTTGTATGTATAATATTATGCAATACTATGAAATATTGTTTCACACAATAATCCCAAACGTAAAAAATATCGACATGGAGAAGAGTAGACTGGCAAAGTGTGCTCTCCAGTGATGAGAGTCGCTTTCATCTTTAACCCGCTGATGGCCGTCAACGTGTGTGGAGACGTCTTGGGGAACGTCTTGCAGACTGCTGCGTCTTCGAAACGAATCGTTGGGGTGGGGGAAGTGTAATGGTGTGGGGAGGCTTCACATTTCATCACCGGAACACCCTACACATTTGCAGGGGTCGCGTTAATGCTGTAGCCTGCCGTGATGATGTCTTGCAACCAATTGTTGTTCCGATGTTTCGAGCACACCCACAACTTCAGCACTTCCAACAGGATAATGCACGTCCGCATACCTCCCGTTTTAGTATGGACTACCTGGCTGCTAACAACACCAGTGTCTTGGACTGGCCAGCCATGTCTCCGGACATGGCACCGATAGAACATGTCTGGGATGAGTTTGGACGCCGTCTGTATCGGAGACCACAGATACACACCATTGCTGCTTTAGAAGCTGCTCTTGTCCAAGAATGGAACAATTTGCCCCAGGCCTTCTTTCAAACATTGGTTAATTCCATGCGACGTCGCTGCACAGCGTGCGTAAGAGCCCATGGAGGACACACGCGCTACTGACATCTGTGTCGTACTTTTGGTTTTGACCCCTCTGACTTTGTACCGTTGATTACAGATTAAACATCCATAAGTGTACAAATGTGTTGTTATTGATGTGTTCCCATTTGAATGTTCACAATAAGAAGCAAAATAAATAAGATATGTTTACAGGATCATTTTGTTATACGAAAAACTAAGTGATGCGTTTTCCATGGCGCTCAGTAACACAACATAAACACCAATGTCGTATGTGTGTTACCCAAACACTAACTTATACCTGAGCCCCTTAGTTTTTCCATATTTTCAATATCAATTTCCTGATTTAAGAAACAAATTTACATAAAAATATATAAAGACAAGGAGCTTTGTGCAATATTATTTCTAATTACATAAAAACTTGTTAGATAATAAAAAATTCATAAAAGTTATTATCTTGTTAAAAATAACTCGTAACACTAACCCCAAGGGGTTAAAAAAAATATGAGACTACAACATAGATCCTAGTTACTTAACTTCCTGGAAGCGGTTAGTCTTCCCAATTACCTTTCTTTTGGTGTGTTTTGTTTTTAGTTGCCTAGCTCATGCGGCGGTTGGGCGATTATATCACCAAACCAAACTATATCTAGAGACAAACTATATATTCCTGGACATAGGAGGATATGAGTAATACGATAACACCACATCAGGGGCTCCAGAGCCACATGTTGGGGGGGGGGGTGTAAAGGAGGGCACAAGCTGTGTTTTGAACATCTAAAAAAAACAAATTCTAACCGCAAAATACGAAAATAACCGCCACAAAACTAGGTAATATTCAACTTAATCCTTTAGTCGTGTGTATGGCACTGTGCATCATTATGGTCAAGTGAATACAGATGCCGTCTGATAGGTTTCTTAGCGCCATAGCCAGCCGATTACGAACAGTTCTGTGAGATATGGGGCGGTGATGTAAACACTACTTTTCAACGATGACTTGCGCAAAAGGATTACATCTCACAAGTCTCAAAATAGCTGCTTCTCTGCGAGGTATGCCCGAACGTTAAAGGTCCTTTGCGTCTTTAGGCTGTTGAGTTTTCCCAATAATCGACTGTATATATTCTGATGCCAATTAAAGCTTTCCTCAATACAATGGCTGATTTCCCCAAAATGTTTTTCATCACTTGGGGGTTTCACATTTTCCTTGCAATGTCTGTAACTATGCATGCAGATCTATATTAGTAGATGGTCGGTCGTCGGTACCTCTTAATATCCGGAGGCCATTCTAAGACTCCTGCTTCCAATTTATTCAGACACTGTTTCGTCATCAAATGGAGACCTTGGAGTGGATGTTCTCACTAGCCACATGCGATTAGAGGCTGGGACTAGGCAGTGTTGACCATTCGTAGGAAGACATGCTTCAAAGTCCTTAGAAAGACCATGTAGTATTTCAGAAGTTAGGTCTGAGTTTTAGGCGCGTCAGTTCTTGTATTGCTTGGAAAAATACAATGCTAAAGAGTTTTACCAATTTAAAAAGTAAAAAATGTGAAGATCAGCGAGTTGCGGGCCTTTTGACATCATACAGAATGCGTCACAATGATAGTTGTAGCCTTCCATCATAATGGTTGGTCGAAAGTGTGCAACCATGACGATTACATTCTCAGTATTGAATGTTAGGGTTGCGTAAACATAGCTAAGGTTGGCTGGATTCATGTCTATTTTTGGAAACCCTAGTATAGTGTATTTTTATTTTTACGGAGATGGTCTCCAGTCGCAACAGCGTGCATAGTCCCTGGCTGACCAGAGAGGTATACCTGGTTTCAGCGGCTACGAATACAGCCGGGAAAGGCAGTTTGTAAAGGTTTTAAAAGGAATAATTTACTACTTTTCTGATAGACCTGGATTTCAAATATGGACTGTACAATTCTTCTGCTAACAATTCTTCTTTATTGACAATTTTGTTTAATAATCTTGCTGCAGATTAGTGTGGCTGTGGTTTTATTAAATCTCTTCTAGTCGAATTCCAAATGCCCCGTTTTGTGAATTATCATAACATTCTCGAAGAATTTTGGCCAATCAAATTGCTTATCGCTCTGCTTACCCTGAGCAGAAAATGCTTATTATCGAACTTAGTCAAGGTATTGATGTAATGAACTAAACGCTTTCATCACTCTCACTTAATTAGAACTAAAGTTATCGTGTCCCAAAGCATCAACCAATCAAATTGCTTATCCCCGCTTACCCTAAGCGGAAGACGCTTACCTTCGAACTCCATCAAGGTATTGACCTAATAAACACCTACACCAAGTTTGAACATTCTAGCTCAATTAGAAGGAGAGTTACCGTGTTCAAATATTTTGGCCAATCAAATTACTTATCGATCTGCTTACCCTGAGCAGAAAATGCTTATTATCGAACTTAGTCAAGGTATTGATGTAATGAACTAAACGCTTTCATCACTCTCACTTAATTAGACCTAAAGTTATCGTGTCCCAAAGCATCAACCAATCACATTGCTTATCCCCGCTTACCCTAAGCGGAAAACGCTCACCTTCGAACTCCATCAAGGTATTGACCTAGTAATCACCTACACCAAGTTTGAACATTCTAGCTCAATTAGAAAGAGAGTTATTGTATCAAAAAACACAGAAAAATAACGAAAAAGATTTCTTGATACTAATTACCCCCAAAATCCGAACAAAAACCTAAATACCAACAAGTAACTAAATACCGAATATACAACACTAATTACCGTTTTAAAAAAACCCCTAAATATTGAAAAATAACGGACTCCGCATGTATTGGTTTATTTGAGCGCCCAGCTGCCAGTAGGGCTCCAAGGGCACGATCCGCGCCTCCATTCGTAGCCCTACTGGTATTCGGTTGTTTTTTTTATTTTGTTTTTTTTTTGGGGGGGGGGGGGAGGCGTAATTAGTGTTGTTTTTTTCGGTATTTAGTGATTTTTTGGTATTTTTTTGGCATTTATTGAAGCTGGATATGATCACACATTTCCGTTAGGACATTTGTAATGTACACATATTTATTGAATTCCTACCAGTACTTACAATATATACAACCAGCGGTAAATATTGTGTATTTATTTCAACTGATGGTCATCTAACACCATGATTGTGGACGGGGAAAAACTTGAGAATTCTCAGAAAAAGGTATTAGAAAATAGGGTTTCTTCATATTGCTTATTTGGTACATCTCGAGTAAATTCATTGGATTTTCCGAGAACATCACTTGTAAAATACATGAACAATCCGGCAACATATAATTGTCCTAAGGCAAATATTCACGTTGGCAATCAAGATTCACTACAAGGATTACGGCTAATGGGAAACAACTATAATAAACTGACCCAATTCAAGAATTATGTTTATTTTATTAGAAACGGGTTTTCCCAATATTGCATAACATTCGGTACACAAAGACTAAATTCATTGCATTTTCCGAGAACATCAATTAAATATGAATAATTCTGAATAAAAATAGTATATATGAAAATAATTTGTGTGTACACAAAATATATTAATTTGTAGTAAAATTGTCTGATAATAAGTCATACTCAAGGAAACCTATAATTATATTTATAAAGGACAATTCATACCGAAAAAAATTCTGATTCGGTGACGTATTTGGACACAGCTCACGAAATATTTCTACGCCGTCAAACCGAATGTAGGGCGAAAGTTATTTTTAGTCTTTCTCTCCCTTTCCCTTTTTCCCCCTTTTGCATGGCGATTTTTGTTGACTTTTTGGTGTAGAATCGAAGAAAGGGGTTTGAAAATACATTTTCTACCAAGTTTTGGTGAATATTCATGATTTTGAGGCGGAAGGATACAAGAGTTGAGAGGTTGAAATGTAGGGTCCAAAATTGCATGTTTTCATGTCTCTACTTCCAGCTTGTGTATCTCAAGTTTTCCATAGTGAACCTCTTACATGCTTTTGGGCAATAGGTTACCACATGTTGCTCCATCTGTGGTAGAAAGCGTTCTACCCAACGAAAATTTGGGAAATGTTAGAGCCGGTCTAAGAGACGAGAATTAACATTAAAGTCAATGGGCAAATCTTTAGTGATCTGTGTCCATATAGTTGGTGTCACGTGATGATTTAGGGGGTTCCCCTTGAACGTCTGAACCAGGGTACTTCATATATGATATAAGATTGTTTTTATTGGTTTTCAATTAAGAATTAAAGCGGTTTCATCTTCATAACACGGTGGGTATAAAGATAGTATGTTACAGTATTGTATCGATATGTTAGCATAGTGAGTATATGTGTATGTACCCAGTAGATTTTATAATTACCAATATGAAACCGAAAGGAAAACGAACATCGCCATGAAGATACAAATATTAATTAAGCTTTTGCAGCTTATTAACACCACCCCCGTAGCCAGCCGGTGGTAAGAGTGGGGGGGGGGCTCCCGGAAAAAGTTTCCGACCATATTTCTAAAATACCCACTGTTTGTAATAGAAAGCAGCCTGGGGTCATCATAATAATTATTATTGGTTATGTTCTGTCTTGTCACTAAGTTCCCTGTTCAGAGTTCACTACAGAATGATTTTCTGGGCTGGAAAACTTGTTTGCGGCCGTCCAATTTCCATGACACCCCCCCCCCCCCGCCCCACGCAAAAAAAAGTTCACTGCCCCTCCACAGCCAACAAGCTGGCTACGGCCCTGATTAACACTGTGAGTATATGTTACAGTATTATATCGACACTTTCATAAAGTCATTATATGCACAATAAGTTATAGTACTATTAGACAAGGTATAGCTATTGTACTATGTCAGCATTACATTCTATAGGCTTACTCACTAACAGTAGGCCTACAATTATACTGATCAATATGAAAAACATAGTGAGATACAACTCGAACATACGAATAATCAAACACGTTTAGCCAAACAAGCATTGGAACTCGGAGCAATACAATCATTAGCGAAATATTGTTGAATTTCGGAATACATAACCGCGAGAAACATATATATATATAATAGAATGCAGGAAAAATACATATAAGAAGTACAGATGGCCCTAACAGTTAGTCAAAAACTTATCCTATGAAAGATTGCAAGATAGATTTCGAAATAGTAAATGGCATTTAAGTGCCAAAAGGTGATTTTGATGGCTGGCTTCTTGAATTGTAAAATGGCCACCGAAATAACTTAGTTTGCCAATATTTTTAATTCTACTGCATTTCGGACAGAAAATCAAGTATAAACTCATATTTTCAATGTCAAAGAACATTACAGAAGTATCAGAAATTCGGTCAAATGGCCGCCATATTGGAATTTAAGATGGCCACCACGTTTTAGACAGTCATTTGTATCTCAAAAACTATAATGCCAAAAATAGACTTCAATGCTTTCTGCATCTAGTGAGTATATCCAGCTTCACAAACTGTTAAAAGTCACTTAAAGCAGGCGCCATATTGGATTCCAAGATGTCCACCATATTTGGGCTTGGTTGATTTCATAGATAATATTGCCGATTAGCACCGCCCTTATTGAATGCAGGAGACCCAAAACGCAAGTGAAACAGGTCCTATGATCGAAGGTGATATACAAACAATGCGAAAAGCTAAAACAAAACATGTTGATGGAATTACATATATGACTCAATAACACATTCTTCAGTAGATATTGCTTTACAGGAATTATATTTATTTATTTGTGCATGCGTGCGTGCAAGAAAGGGTTGGGAGTTAAATAAAATCTTCTACTCGTCTTTTTTTTAATATCAAAATCAAAAAGTATCAACACTCGTCCATAAAGTAAAAATAAAAATCGGCAAAGTCTTGGTCTTTTTTACATTTATCGACTTGTGTTGATATATTTTGCTATATTTTGCTATATCCAGAGGCTTTTATAACTTATCTAGATAACAAGGCTGTTCTTACACTAGTTCTTACACTATATCATAGATTTGATAGATGAACAGAAAGGTAATGGTGATCGAGTCAGAGTACTGATAATGTTTGCGATTCTATTTTCAGACACATCAATTTAATCCAACCAACAAAAATGGCAGAGGGTCACAGAGCAAATGAAAGAGGTCCTATGGTCGATGATGACTTATCAAAAATGAAAAAATCTAAAATGAAACTTATTGATGGAATTGCAAATCCACAGCCTCTTATTTCTTGCTTGGATGGCAAGGGGGTTCTTACACGGCGTCACAGAGAAACTATTGATGCGGAGAACTGTGATGTTGATAAAGTCCAAAGACTGATAAACCTATTGATGGATGATTGTAGAGGTGGATTTATATCATTTGTTGAAACTCTACAGGAAACAGGTCATAATAGTTTGGCTAAATTATTATTAGACGGTAAGTGAACCGTTTATTAAACCTGTATTCAGAGCAAGTTTAAAAGTACATTGGAATTCGGCCGGTTCGGTTCTGCCAAAATGGCCAAAAGCACAAAAATGCATCTGTTTGTTGGCTTCGTTAAAATTCTGAAATATACGCCTCATATTTTCGCTACCCGACCTATAGCTACAGGGCCTCTATTTCATATCGCCTTACATTATTATTTAAGATATTTAGGTAACTTTTTGTAGAAGGGAAATAGATCATAATTGTTTTGATTGGATATTTTGCATGTTATTATTGCATTTTTAGATTGCTTAAGGCGGAAGAATACCCTGCTAGCGTTATGTTTGAATTACCTGTTAGATGGTGATATCTCAACAACAAATTAATTTAAATCGCAGAAATTTTGAAAAGCAGTCTTGATTTTTTAGCGGCGGCTGTAGTTTGTTCATTCTTGCGGCTTAACATCTGCTTCCACCAAGGGGGATACCGCAGCGTGCGTTAGGGGTAGAGGTGCGATTAAAATATTTTTACCTCCTCCATTTCCTTGATTAAAGGTGGAATCGTTCATTTTGCTCTGGCTATAGGCTCATGTGCCTTTAGATACCGTGCCTCAGTCGGTTCATGTTTGATAGAAAATGGTTTGATCTTAATCATTGTAATTCTGTATTTTCAGTTTCGTGGAAACCTTTTAACTCAATTCTATATGTTTCCTTTATTGTTTACTCTTTGCAGATCGAACAATGCGTATTATGTTAATTGGCGAGATAGGTGCTGGTAAAAGTGCCCTAGGCAATAATTTATTGGGATTGTCTGGAAATAATGGATTTATATCTCAAGTAAGCGCAAGTTCTGTAACCACAGAGAACCGCTCACTAACAAATGTGATAAACCTGAGGGGTAAAGATATATCCTTCAAACTATTGGATACGCCTGGATTATCAGATGTAAGAAAATCTAATTCGGAAATAAATGAAGAACTAGTTAAATGCATATTCAAGCTTTATCCAGGACCACATATTTTCTGCTTCGTCTTAAAAGTTGATCGGATTACATCGTCCATAATGACAACAATTGAAAATTATAAAGACATGTTCGGTGAGTGTCTTAACAAATATGGTGTGATTGTTTTTACAAACAAAGATCGATTAAAAGATGTATCATTTGATGAATATATCAAAAAAGCACCGGATGAATTTAGATTGTTTTTAGATGAATACTGTGGTCGTAGATATGCTTTAATAAACAACGACAATCCTCAAAACGGCGTGACTGATATTCAGGAGCTGATTTTAAAAACCATAAAAGAAAATGAGTTTCAATATTACACACATGATATGTTTGAAAAGGCCACGGAGTTGTATCGCCAAAAGATGCTACAGTTGGAGGAGGAGAGAAATAAGATGAAGAATGAAAATCAAGAATTGAAAAAGAAGTTGGAGGATTATGAAGATATGAAAAAGAAATTGGAGGAATCTGAGGACCAGAAAAGGGCAAAGGAGAAGGAACTGGAAGATATGAAGGTTAAATTGAAGAGATACCAAGAACAGGAAGACCTATCTCTATCACACGAACAAAATGTACCAAAGGAAGACAAAATGATGTCTGATAGCCCCAAGACAACTGAACCAGTAGATTTGCAGACACAAGAAAATGTTGAGGATTTAAAAAGGACGGCTGATATTAAAAGTGTAGACATCGGTAGTCTTTGTGATATCCTTGTGAATCGGGGTTATTTGAATGATAAAGAGAGAAAAGATATAGTTACAATAAAGCCATCAATAGCAACAGTGGATCACCTTGTGGATATCTTACAGCATAATACCAAAAAATACAGAAAAGCATATCGTATACTTATTAAGCACTTAAAAATGGAAGCTACCCAAAGCAGCATAATTCAGCGTGGTAAGTAAAGTTGATGTAATTATGTCAATAAATTTTTTTACAATTTAAGGAGCGTGATTGTTGACTTTCGTGATTAAAGATAGACAACTCTCTTTTTATACCCCCACATTTTCATGTGGACATGATATATTGTCATCGCCCATGTCCGTCCACAATTTGTTTGTGGCCACACTACAAGTCACAATTCTTATCTGATTTTGATGAAAATTGAAATATAGGTTTATTTCCAAAAGATCTTGGTTCCTTTCGATATTGGCATGTATCGAACCGAAACTTCATGGATTATGGCCCCTGATTGTACGGCAAATCATGTTCTTAGCTTGTGGACACTCTAGGTGTAGTCTCTATCATCCAGAAAAATATTCGTAAGTCTGGATGCGTTGTCAACATTTGAGAAAAATAGGTTGGTCATTGGCTAGATTATCCGGTCTTTTACATTATCATAAACAGCGCCAGTTCAATATCTAACACTCTTAATTTTTTTTAGCTAATTCATCGTCACGATTCATGTTTGTTTATATTAATGCAAGATCTATGGGATTTATTGCAGGAAGGGGCGCAACTCTTATTTGACTTGGCCAAAGATACGGCCACAAATCACTAAAGATTTCCCCATTGACTTTAATTCACGTCTCTTAGACCAGCTTTAACTTTTTCCCAAATTTTCGTTAAGTAGAACACTTTCTGCCACAGAGGGGGCAACATGTGGCAAAATCTTGCCCAAAAGCATGTATGAGGTCCTTCATGAAAAACATGAGATACACAAGCTGGAAGAAGAGACAAGTAAACGTGCAATTTTCGGCCATACATTTCAACCTAACCAACCTCTAATACACTTTTGTATCCTTCTGCCTCAAAATCATGAATATTCACCAAAACCTGGCAGAAAATGTATTTCAAACCCTTTTCTTCCATTCTACACCAAAAAGTCAACAAAAATCGCCATGCAAAAGGGAGAAAAAGGGAAAGGGAGAGAAAGACTAAAAATAACTTTGACCCTTGTTTCGTGGATGACGGCATGGAAATATTTGGTGATCTGTGTCCTATATAGGGCTGTAACTTCAGGTATCCCCAAAAGGCCTTTTTTATATGCTTCCCATATGTTCTGGCAACATACCGGTGAAAGAAAATCAAATCAAAGAATAACTGCAAAAATGATGGCCCTTTAAGTATACATGCTGCATTATGTACAGTGGTGCATCTCAGGTCCATGGGCCTTTTGTGCTAAAATTTAAAAATCTTTCTTATTAAAGGCAGTATTTAGGTTCTGTGAAAAAATTAAACAAGTTACAAACAAATTACACAGAAAACACTCATAATCTGGAATTTGTTTCAAAAATATAATTTTTTACTGCCATGTCATAAAAATGTAGCATCTTTCAAAAAAAATAATAATTTTCTACTTTTTTTAGATATCCAGACTGGCAAAGAATACATTTTTAGAAACCCTGGACAATATGCAAACCAAAAATCACAAATCAGTTGCATTAATGGTAATTTTAGAGATCTATACTGAAACATGTATCCCCACCCGCTAAACATGTCACTGACTGAATCAATCTAATCTTTGGTTGCAGAAGTAACATTACCAAAAGGATCTGTCTAATAGCTATGTTTTACCATCCCTGGCTCACATATGTACATATGAACTAAAATATGTGCAATAAATATGAATTATGGTTAAAAATAGGCCTTGATGAAAGAAAAAAATGGCACATTTGGTCTATGACCACCCCTCTCTTACAAAAGGGTCACAGATTACACTATTTTCACAAATTTGGAAATATTTCAATGTTTTCAACATCTCAAAGCTCAGAGGCACCATACAAATCTTTATTGCAATTCTTGTGCTGAAGCAAGATGTTTGGACCTTTACATCAATATCCTGAAAAAATGAAGTCAAAAAATTAGTTATGACAGCATTGACATCAGAAAGGAGGTCTGAAAAAGGAGCAAAATTAACATTTTACTGTTCTATAAGTAACATAAATGCAACAGATACCACCAAACCTAGATTGTGATAAGAAAATATTGAACATTAAGCTGACATTTACACATCTACACCAGTTTTGTATCAGGGTGTGGTCTCATTGGCCTGAAATGCCTCACGGTTCTAAGTTTGACTTTAAACAAAAAAGGTTAGAAATCCTTGAAATGTACAAAAAACTATTTATTGGTGAAAAATAACATTCCTAGCTGTAATTCAACCACAAATTCCGATTACTATCATTTAATTGTCAACACAGGTGCAATTAAATCTCTCAAAACACATTAATAAAAAGGGGTGGGGTGGGGCATTTACATGTATAGTCTCTCTCAACGGAATGGCGGAGTGAAAAATGTCTAGAAAGACTTGAATATTGCTTTCTACATACATGTAAAGCAAATGCAAGAATTTAATGTTTCAAAGAAGAAAAAAATGCTTCTTCTGCGTAAAGTAGTGGCAAAATTGAGCCAACACCTGTTTTGAACATTTTGTACAAACCCATATATGCTGTACATTATTAATTCAGTGTTACCAATTTTCAATTTTCTGTAGGAAAGTTGGAGCTATTTCTAAATCTGACAAACTTATAGATCCCATCTATGTTAGCCTATATTAGCAATGAAAAAAAAGGGCATTTTTAGACATTTTGACTCATTTGAGTAGTCATGAAAGGATTAATTTCTACATCGAAATGGGAGAATATGGAGATTTTATGTGAATATTCCTGATTTTTAGACAAAATTTGGTGAAATTACAATACTGTTCACTTTATCTGTGCTTTCTGAGGCTGAATAAGCCAAAATTTGATATTAAAATATTTTACTTACTGTTAGAAATTAAATAAAAACTGAAAATTGAGAAAATTGCAGAAGAATCACAATTTTTCTCCAAACTTTGATTTTTTTTTTTAACTTTTTTTTAGTTTTTCTGTAGTCAAAATATTTTATACATATTTTCTAAGAATTCTTCATATTTTCAAAGCTAAGGCATATTAGTCACAGCCTTGTCACACACAGACAGGCCACAAATCACTAAAGATTTCCTCATTGACTTTAATGTTAATTCACATCTCTTAGACCGGCTCTAACTTTTTCCCAAATTTTCATTTGGTAGAACGCTTTCTGCCACAGATGAGCAACATGTGGCAAAATCTTGCCCAAAAGCATGTACTGTATGAAGTTCACCATGAAAAACTTGAGATATACAAGCTGGAAGTAGAGATAAGTAAACATGCAAATTCTGGCCTACATCTGAACCTAACCAACGTCTCAACTCTTGTATCCTTCCACCTCAAAATCATGAATATTCACCAAAACCTTGCAGAAAATGTATTTTCAAACCCTTTTCTTCCATTCTACAGCAAGAAGTCAACAAAAATGGGCATGCAAAAGGGGGAAAAAGAGAAGGGAGAGAAAGACTTAAAATAACTTTGGCCCTTGTTTCGTTGGTGACGGGGTAGAAAGTTTCAGTTTTTATTATATGCCCACATTGAAATGTGTTCGTATATTGTTGTTGCACCTGTCCGGCATCCACAATTGCTTGTGGACGCTCTAGAGGCTAAAGTTAACATCCGATTAAATTTAAATTTATACACAGTGTTTAAGGTCATGAGACGAAGAAGCCTATTGATTTTCACCGATTTCCGATAATTACTGCCAGAGTTATGGCCCTTGATCACTTTGAAAAATCTTGTGGACGATCTAGAGGCCACAGTTAATATCCGATTGACTTGAAATTTATACACAGTGTTTAGGGTCATGAGAAGAAGAAGTCTATTCATTTTCAGTGATTTTCGATAATTACTGCCATAGTTATGGCCCTTGATCACTTCAAAAAATCTTGTGGACGCTCTAGAGGCTAAAGTTAATATTCGATTGGCTTTAGATTTATACACAGTGTTTAAGGGCATGAGTCGAAGAAGCCTATTGATTTTCAGCGATTTACAATAATTACTGCCAGAGTTATGGCCCTTGATCACTTCAAAAAATCTTGTGGATGTTCTACAGGCCAAAGTTAATATCCGATTGACTTGAAATTTATACACAGTGTTTAAGGTCATGAAACGAAGAAGCCTATTGATTTCCAGCCATTTCCGATAATTACTGCCAGAGTTATAGCCCTTGATCACTTTAAAAATTCTTGTGGACGCTCTACGGGTCAAAGTTAATATCCGATTGACTTTAAATTTATATACAGTGTTTAAGGTCATGAGACGATGAATCCTATTGATTAATATCCGATTGACTTTAAATTTATACACAGTGTTTAAGGTCATGAGACAAAGACGTCTATTCATTTTCAGCGATTTTCGATAATTACTGCCAGAGTTATGGCCCTTGATCACTTCAAAAAATCTTGTGGACGCTCTAAGGCCAAAGTTAATATCCGATTGACTTTAAATTTATACACAGTGTTTAAGGTCATGAGACGAAGAAGCCTATTGGTTTTCAGCGATTTCCGATAATTACTGCCAGAGTTGAGTTCAGATTGATACACAGAGTTTAAGAGCTTGAGACGAACAAGTATATTGATTTTCAATGAATTTTTATGACTTGAACAGCTAAATCCATGATATTAAAAGTTTTGTATACTAAACGTTAGCATGGGGCAGAACTTTATAAAAACCAAACAAATTCTAATGGTTTTCTGATAATTACTTCATGAGTTGTTACTCTTAATCAGATTTTAGTGTATTATAAATGTTTCATTACCGAAAGAAGTAAAAATATGCGACAACACTTGTTGACTGCCCGGACGATTTAGCTGCTGTGGGCGTATATTTCGTTGCCTGGCAACCTATCTTTAAATTTATAGACAAGGAATAGAGATATAAGGTGGTTTAAACGATATTTGTATCTTTACAAATTATTCTCTATTGTCAGTATATTAGCTATGGTATGAGTCTATTTAAAATGCAAATTAATTTTACTAAATGTACACTAAAAATGTAAGTGACAGGTTGACACATGAAAAGAGTTATAGAACCAAAACATAGCTGCTTCTATGTGTCAACAACATGTTACCAGGTTACACGTGAGTGGAAATATACTAATTACATCATTTGGCTTATTATTTAACCAATCATATCAGAAATTGCACAGGTTCAGGGCCATGAACAGGCTGTTCTGTGCGTGATATTCATGAGTCCTATAAAAGTAACCATAGTAAACTTTTAAATCAGACCTCCATTAGATTCTAGAGAGGTTCCATCTGAGTTCCTAGACAGCAGCTTGATTCCAGAAGGGGAAAGATGTAACCATTTCTATCAGCAGACTCGCCCACATCGAGTCTGGCTGGCTAGGGTTTGAGAATGAGGCTGACCTTAAAAATATCTTTGTTTCGCCTAACGCGACCGACTAACTAAAACCACCCCCGACTTAAATTATTTTATTGCACTTTTCCGCGATCTTTTTATTTTATTTTGTGTGTCAACCTGAAATATATCACGAGAGTTATTTCCCTTTACTATGGCTATGGTTTGATTCATTATTGAAACTGGTTGATCAAGACGAAAGCGTCATAGGTGTCGCTTCTCAACAAAATGGTTGCAGACGAAAGCACGTCCATTCCCACGAAATGATTCTGCCTCTATGTCTGTGGGGCGTCGTTTTAAACATGACGACGATATTTTCAATATCCGTTTTCGAGAAAAATGAAGGCACAACCCGCACGATCGTTAAAAACGTGTTGAGGGAGTTTCAAACGTGAGTTTGTGGCAATTTGTGTGCGAGTCGTGCATCAAGAAAAATCCCGATGTCATTGATTTGTTTGCCAATAAAAGAAGACGAATGTTTGCACCCGAAAAATTATCAAGCTGTCAAATTAGCTCTTAAAAAAAAAATCTGAAAAAAAAACCGACCTACCGACCCTTCTCCTCGATTGTGGGTCGGGTTTGGTGAAACAAAGATATTTTTAAGGTCAGCCTGACTTTAGTATTGTAATCTATACTATGCTTATATGTATCCAGCCTGATATATAAAATGTATAAACAAACAGTTGCATTGTTATAACTACTGAGAAGACAAACGTCTTAAGAAAACAGTAAGAAGTAAATACACAACGTGAAGTGGAAGCAAAGACAGCTAGAGACAAATTCTAGACGATCACAAGGCTACTAAAATATGTAGGAAGAAAAGATGCATGGGTCGTACGTAGGATGTGGCGACCGGTTTTTGGTATCCCCGCTTTCCATGTCAGACAGAAAGGCCCATTGTGCTACAACATTTCGAGCTGAAACTAAGCAGAGCTAATCGATTTCATTTGTAGATGGTTTGGGACAAGATAATCTTGATTCTATATGATAGAGAGTTATGAAACTTACTGAAAAAAATAAATGTGCGATTAATTAATATGTGTCATCTATTTATTTTGCAATTTCGGCGGGGGACATCAGCCTCACTGTTGGCTTGTTGAACCTTGTGAACGCTCTAATGCATTATTTAAATTAGTGAAACCACGAAGCCTTTTGAATTTCAGCAATTCACAATAATTACTTCTAGAGTTATGACCCTTGTTTCTTTTTGTTCAACCTTGTTAATGCTCGATTGATGAAAGTTATCATCTGATATATGAAATTTATATGCATCATTTAAATTTGTGAAACAGAGGTCTGTTGAATTTCAGCAATTTCCATCAATAATTTTTAGAGTTATGGCGATTGTGAACCTTGTGAATGTTTGAATGACAAAAGTGACCATCTGATCTGTATGAAATTTATATGCATTATATAAAATTAGTAAAACGAAAAAGCCTGTCAAATTTCAACAATTCTGTAGATTACTTCCAGAGTTGAGACCCTTGTTTCAGTTTGTAGAACCTTGTGAACCTTCAAACGACAAAAGTTATAATCTGATCTGTATGGAACTGTCTTGGAAACGCCCCCAATTACCTACAATGATTTCAGATGATTTCGCTGCTGTGGGTGTATGTTTCGTTGCTTGGCAACCTATCTTTTATTAATGTGTTTTGAGAGATTTATTTGCATCTGTGTTGACAATTAAATGATAGCAAATGGAATTTGTGGTTGAATTACAGCTAGGAATGTTATTTTTCACCAATAAATAGTTATTTTGTACATTTCAAAGATTTCTAACCCGTTTTGTTTAAAGTCAAACTTAGATCCCAGAGACATGTCAGGCCAATGAGACAACACACTGATATAAAAATGGTGTAGATGTGTAAATGTCAGCTTAATGTTCAATATTTTCTTATCACAATCTAGGATTTGTGGTATTTGTTGCATTTATGTTACTTATAGAACATTTAAATGTTAATTTTGCTCCTTTTCAGGCCTCCTTTATGTTTTCAACTCTGTCATAACTACTTTTTGGACTTCATTTTTTCAGGCAATTGATGTAAAGGTCCAAACATCTTGCTTCAGCACAAGAATTACAATAAAGATTTGTATGGTGCCTCTGAGCCTTGAGATGTTGAAAACATTGAAATTTTCCCAAATTTGTGAAAATTGTGTATTCTGTGACCCTTTTATTAGAGAGAGGTGGTCATAGATCAAATATGGCATTTTTTTCTTTCATCAAGGCCTTTTATTTTTCATCAAGGCCTATTTTTAACCATAATTCATATTTATTGCACATATTTTAGTTTATATGTACATATGTTAGCCAGGGATGGTAAAACATAGCTATAAGACAGATTCCTTTGGTGATGTTACATGTACTTCCCCCTTTTGCATGACGATTTTTGTTGACATTTTGGTGTAGAATGAAAGAAAGGTGTTTGAAAATACATTTTCTGCCAGGTTTGGGTGAATATTCATAATTTTGATGCGGAAGGATACAAGAGTTGAGAGGTTGGTTAGGTTCAGATGTAGGCCAGAATTTGCCTACATCACTTTTTAAAAAATCTTGTGGACGCTCTAGAGGCTAAAGTTAATTTATACACAGTGTTTAAGGTCATGAGACGAAGAAGCCTATTGATTTTCAGCGATTTCCGATAATTACTGCCAGAGTTATAGCCCTTGATCACTTTAAAAAATCTTGTGGACGTTAAAGGCACAGTATTTAAAGGCCTGGTCCCACTGCACTTACGGTTGCAAAGAGGATGTAAAACGGCGAAAAAAACGTGCCCTCCGTTTGAAAACGCCATGCATCCGCTGTGTACTCATTGCATACGTGTTGCATACGCTCTATCTATCGAGCATCCGTTCACTTTGATTTCATCCGTGCAGAAAGTTTTGAGCTGCACAAAACTTTTATAACGGATGAACTTTCTGCCGTGTACGATGTAAATGCGCGACATATACGAGCACCAAACGTTCCATGTCCGTTATCATCGTTTAACGTCCACTGTATCCTCTCTGCATCCTCTGTGCATCCTTGCAACTCACATCTGCTCCAGTTGAAAACGGAACGAGGGAGGAAAGATGAGGTACATGTAACGTCTATACATCGTTAGTAGGACGGAAATAGAAAGGATGTAAGCGTATGTATCTCGTATATAAAGTTTTCAAAACGGACAAAGCGTTTGTATCTGGGATGTATCTGGTATATTGAAGGATGTCTGGAGTTTGCCTAACCCCTTCGGAGCTGTCATCCACTTCCATCCGCTAGGCTTCCGATGAATATCCATTTAACATCCCTGCTACATACTTCCCCCGTTCGTTCTTTTCTGTTCTGTTTTCTCAAATTTTCGTCAATTTTGTCCATTTCTGGAGCGGATGAAAACGGATGGAGCCACCCCCGAGAGTTTGCTTGTCCGCTGTGTCCTTTTCAGCGATTTTTGATAATTACTGCCAGAGTTATGGCCCTTGATCACTCCAAAAAATCTTGTAAATGTCCTAGAGGCTAAAGTTAATATCCGTTTGACTTTAAATTGATACACAAGGTCATGAGACGAAGAATCATTAATTTTCAACAATTTCTGATAATTATTGCGAAAGTTATGGCCCTTGATCACTTTGAAAAATCTTGTGGCGCTCTAGAGGCTAAAGTTATCTTCCGATTGACTTCAGATTGATACACAGAGTTTAAGGCCTTGAGACGATTGATTTTCAATGAATTTTTATGACTTGAACAGCTAAATCCATGATGATGTTGAAAGTTTTGTATACTAAATGTTAGCATGGGACAGAACTTTATAAAAACCAAACAAATTCTAATGGTTTTCTGATAATTACTTAATGAGTTGTTACTCTAAATTTTAATGCATTATAAATGTTTCATTACCGAAAAAAGTAAAAATATGCGATGACTCTTGTTGACTGCCCGGACGATATAGCTGCTGTGGGCATATGTTTCGTTTCCTGGCAACCTATCTTTGATAATGTTATGCTTAATTCAAAGTATTAAATGATTTACTCAATTGAGTAAATAATTGACAATATAAATGTAAACGGGCAATATATACGTAGCAGCAAAAGTTTAATAAAGCCCACATACCTTATTAACATTAAATCTTTAGGATTTATCTACCTTCAATTTAATTCCATGAGCAATATAGGAATCCCTTACAACCAACAATATCATAAAAGCTGAATGTCTAATAGGAATAGACACACGCCGATCTATTCTGCACCTTATGTACACAACACCACCGCCACCATTTTGATAAATATTAGAGTTTAGAGATATAATCTAAAATAGTTAAATTACCAAAATTTTATCTATTAGTATTGACCAGATGACACTTCCAATCCCTATTACTATTTTGCAGATAAGAGATATGAAAACATAGGCCTACTTAACAAGATGGAAGCTTATAAAGAGAACTACCCAGCACGTTATGCTACCTTGCATTCTAATGACCAGAGTGGCATTATACATGTTACATTACTGGTATCAGTGCTATTTTTTGTTATTATTCTGCTCCTTGTGATGACCAGGCTAGAGCCTATTATGAGACAGAGTTGTAAACTGGACTGTTTTGATACAAAAAGTGCTTCACGAGACAACATCTGTTATGGTAACTTCTTGGTGTGCGATGCACGGAACTGTGGGTAAACCACAAGAAACGTCCACGCTGATTGATGAATCAATGTCTGACGTCATAGGGTCAAAAGCCATTCGTGTGACCTCTGACGCTGCCTTTTACTACAACCAGTCAGATCTTCATGTAGTGAAGGCCATCGAAAGTATAAAAAAAACCGTAACGAAATATAGATCTGTATTTTATTCAGATTGTGTTTAAACTAATAGACCAGAGGCTCAGTGAGCGTGGATGTCTAACAAATGGGCACAAAACCAGACCCAACTTTTCTATTGTAAAATTTTGCATAGAATAAGATGCTGAGTGGTAATCATTCCGCCGCTGGGGTGTTTTCGTGATTATCAGGGTCAAAGGTCAAATGAGTTCATTTGCACTGAAAGTAAATGTGCAGCCATTCTTGTATCATGAAAATAAGCTGAAAATAATCAAAAGTAATTACCCTTTCAATAAAAATGTAACCTTGCTAAATTCACCTTAATTGTTCTTTGTGACCCTGGAGGTCAAAAGGTGAAATTTTCCGTTTTAGCACTAAGAAGATTTAAAGCAATAAATGTGCGAAACCTGTTCTAATTAATAATAGGCACATTTAAAATGTATCTTAAGGTAGTCTTAGCACCAAACTTTTACTTTGGAACGTGGAAATAGATCTTGCATAAGTGTGTTGTGGGGGTGTACAGTGTACACACACATATCCGAAAAATACAAGACATTCATTGCGAGTACGCGGATACAGCACTCGGAAAACCTCGGCAGATTCCGTTACTCTACATCTAGCTTCGGCTGTATGACGGTAAGTGATATGTACCTACGAACTTGCCGGTTTTAGAAAGAAGTTATCAAAATTGCCTCGTTCGAAGCGTGTTTAGAATTTTCAGAGCAAAGTTGTCCTTGTTTGAAGAAAATCTGATTAGGTACATATCACTTACCGTCATACAGCCGAGGCTAGATGTAGAGTAACGGAATCTGCCGAGTGCTTAACCGGTATTAGAAATTTCGCGAGACGCGTGAAATTATGAAATGAATACGTGACTAAATTCACGTTTCTAATGTCGAAGAAAAGATTCTATTTTGATGATCATATTTATATGGGGTTTATGTTTTTAAATAAAGAAATAAGTAATCTAGGCAATGTTGACGAATATGTCGATTGGAATAGTGTAAGTACTTAATTGTTTTAGACGATAGCGCGTGCTAGAGTAGAATGCGATTATTTAGCGGATGGTGTAATTTCTCGTTGTGGTATAGCGACGTTTATTGCCCAAAAAATTTCGGGATATCACATTCTTACCCTCTGTACATAAGTCGTAACGGAGTATAAGACGAATGCCGGACTTCTGCTGAAAAATGTAGCGACTTATGACCCGAAAATACGGTAATTTTGGAGGAATTTGAAACAGTACAGATCGGCAGTAGTGGGCACGCTTTCATTCTATCGTATTACGAATTTTGTAGAAATATTACTGACATAAATTTGTATACCGTACGGGAATTAAATATGAAAAATAACGAGTTGCACCTATTTTTATATTACAGACGAATTTGAATATTTTGTTTACACGTGATTTTTGTGTGTGGTCTGAAAACTGCCATCTTAAATAACGATAAGAGTTATGTCCCTTTATTTTCGGTAAAAATGTCCGACAAGAAAAATTTTGAAATCCCATCACTGGTGTACACAATGAAGATATTTCTATAGTTCATACATTTATTATTTTCATACATCTATTCATTCATAAAAAAAGACCATGCTTCTTTCTTTGAAGTCTCGGGAGTTCTCTCCCCTTGATTATCCAAAAATGGAAAATACTCTCATTTACAGCTAACATACATTTATGCAGCAGTTACTCCCCATTAAGCTGTGACTGTAAGGTCTAAGGGTGTATATTACTGAACAACAGAACCAAAACACTTTGAGGCTTGTATCAAAAATATCTCGAAAACAACCCCAATGGCAGACTGATTACCACTCGGAGTCACATTCTACGCAAAATTGTACTATAGAAAAGTTGAGTCTGGTTTTATGCGCATCCCCGCACTGAGCCTCCAGACTATAAATACTGTTATCAATAATTATTGATATTTTCTATAAAAGGAAATGAAATGAAATGAAGTGGGGTTTAACGTCCTACTGTTTTGCTCCTAAACTGGGCTAATGAAGACGGGCATACGCCATACAGTGTGCTATGAGGGAAATTTTGCCCGGGCAGCGGCGCTACGGCCTACTCTTATATCAATTTCCACCTGCCAAGGGATCTTTTACGTGCACGCCAATATGTACACGGGACCTCGGTTTTTCATCCCATCCAAACAACTAGACAGCTGTCCTTGTCAGGCCCTCCGTCCTGCATCACTGACAAGGGGAAACCACTCCGGAAAATCTGGATGAACTTTCTCGGCCAATGCAGGGATTGGAACACCCGACCTCCAGGCTAGCAAGCCGGCGTCTTACCCACTTAGCCACGTGATCCCCTTCTATAAAAGGAGATCCAAACTTCCGTATGTTCCCTTGTCCATTAGTTTTCTGCATTTTGGTTTAAATAAGCTTTATAAAAATGTATAGTTTGTTTAGCATGGAGAAACTTGTTGTGGAATTGTATTTCTCTACACGTTTTGGCTGCAGGTGATACATGTATATAAATGGTATATTTAGAAATTTGTAATTACATGTAATATTTTTTGAATAAAATTATTTACAAGAAAAAAAAATCAGTTCTGGTCTGAACATTGAAGTTAAGCAACGTCAGGCCCAGTAAGTACTTGGGTGGGTGACAGCCTGGGAACATCGGGTGCTGTAGACTCCTTTACCCATGAATGTTTTGAAACAAGCCAACAGTGAGGCTGATGTCCCCCGCCGAAATCCCAAAATAAATAGGTGATACATATTAATTAATCACATATTTATTTTTTTCAAAAGCATCAAGCAATTAAACTGATTATCAACTATACACTAAGTTTCATCACTCTCTTGCATCAACCAATGAAATCGATAAAGCTTAGCTTTAGCTCGAAATGTTAATCATTGAACTCTGTCAAGACATTCACCTAATGAACATCTACATCAATTTTAAACATTTTACCTCAATTAAAAGCAGAGTTGTTATGTTCCAAAGTCTTGACCAATCAAATTACTTATCTATCCTTAGCCTAAGCAGAAAATTCTCATCATCAAACTTAGTCAAGGTAATGATATGATGAATCTATACTCAGAGTTTCATCACTCTCACTTAATTATAACCATGGTTATCGTGCCCCAAAGCATCAACCAATCTGCTTACCGTAAACAGACAATGTTTATCATCGAACTCGATCAAGGCACCTAATGAACGCCTACGCCAAGTGTGGCCGCAGCCGAACTGTTTACATTTTTGGTTTGTTTTTATCGCAATTAACGGTTAAAGGGGGGGAACTCTCTTTATTATAACGGATGATGTAAGCAAGCGGGAAGTGTGCAAAAAAGCGTGCAAATGAAAGATGGCGAGTAAACAGCGGTCTCAAACTATTTGAAACGTTGTCAACGTTTTAACGTTAAAGTTTCCCTATGGATACTCAATAGTTATGTCACACGGTGAACGGACATTCCAGGAAATTGAGTGTTGACGGTAAACTGTATAAACTGCTAGTTTAAGGTCTCAATTCGTCGTGTCTCTGTGAAAGGCTAACGGTAAACAAGACATCGGCTATTGGTAACGGCATGGCTGCAGTTTCAAGTTAAACTTAAAGGGACGGTGACGCGTTTCAATACCGCTATGTACAAGGTTTATTTATAAATCCTATGGTGGACTGAATAAAGAAATTTTATGGTTTGAATGTATTTTCTTTATCGAGCTTACGGCCATCATATTAGTTTCAAATAGTAATAATTATTGATTTCTCGCCACGTATAGTATTGTGATCGTCAAATAGAATAGCCGCTCTATCGTATATAGACTGAAATGAACGTTGTAAACACCGCTTCGTGAGTGGTTGTTAAGTGACTTTCCATAGTTAAAAGTGCATGACACGTCCTATAGTATTTTGATAGTTTTTCTACAGTCAATTGTTAACAGTTTATCAACATGGCTTCACGTAAAGACTTGATAATAGAACTTCATAAGAACAATAATGAAGATACAGTAGCAGAACGAGATAGCGATGATGATAGTACTTTACATACCAGTTCAAACCAATCAAGGCATACAAAGAAAAGTCACAAAAGTTCGACCTCGTCTAGTTCGTCAAAATATTCAAGTTCTATGATCCGAGCAAGGGAAAAAGGCGAAAGTTGCAGAACTACTAATTGAACAGGCGATGTTGTCTAAAACTCAACAAATTCAGAAATTAGAACTTGAAGTGAAAATCGCTAAAGCTCAAGCCAGAGAGAAGGCTTTCCTTGAAATCGTTGATGAAGATAACTTAAACAGATTGTCAAACGAATATATTGTTCTTTCAGAAGTCAACGAATCTTCAAGTAACAGTAATCAACCTAATACGATAAAACCAAGTGATCTTCCACATACAGTCACACCGCCATTGATAAATGATAAACGAAAAAGTGAAAGTAATTTAAATCAACCTGTCTCAAGTACACCGATTATTTATCGTCAACCGCGAGAACAAACACCGCCTATCTGCTTGAAGAATACCGCACCGCAAGGTCAACGCCTTAACCCCACAGTCAATGAATTTCAACCGACAAACGCTGAATGTTTGGATTCAACACAGTCAACACGATGTGGTTTTGATGCATAGACAATTAATGGCTGCAATGACATTACCTCAACCGGAAGTGAATAAGTTTAAAGGCGACCCGATAGAATACACGCCATTCATTAAAGCCTTCAATGCAAGGATTCGGTCTAAAGTTTCCAACAGTGCCGATTGTCTCTACTACCTTGAACAGCACTTAGAAGGAGAGCCTAGACATTTAATCGACGGATGTTTACATCTAGATCCCGAAGAAGGATTTGAAGAAGCGTTACAACTTTTGGATCAAGAATATGGCGACCCATACAAGCTTTCAATATCGTACACAGACAAAGTTCTTAATTGGTCCTTAGTTAAAGAAGATCCGTCAGCATTAAAGAAGTTTTCTCTGTTTCTCATCAAGTGTAGAAACGCCATGAGTAGTTTATCGTATATGTTAGTCTTGAATCACCCACCAAATATGCAGTGCATAGTACAGAAACTCCCATACAGTCTTCAAGCAAGATGGAGAGAACGTGTTGTCCGAATGCGAAAGGTTGAAATGAAAACTGCATTATTCACTGATCTGGTAGACTTTATTAAGGATGCTGCTGAAGCTGCAAACGATCCCATATACGGTAAAGACGCTTTGGTGAAATCAAGTTCAACGAATAATCAAGCTAGTAAACCGAATTATCAGCATAAAGATTTCCATGGACATGTTAGGAAACCGTTTATACCCAAACAGAAAAGTTTTATACCCAAACAGAAAAGTTTTGCTACAAATACAAGTTCAGTATCGCCGAATTCCGGATTCTCAAACGGGACCGGGTATAAAATCAGTTATCAGAGGTCAGACTTAGCTGTAAACTTTGTAAGGGTACTCATGGTTTAGATAATTGCCCAACTTTTATGAAGAAAACAATGGAAGACAAGAAGACTTTCTTAATAAACAATAGACTTTGCTTTAGTTGCTTTGAAACAAATCACATGGCTAAGGGATGTTTACAAAAGGCCACATGCGGTAAATGTCAAAAGAAACATCCAACAACTTTACATATTGATGGATTCAGTCTTCAAACGGCCGATGATCATCTTCAATTGTCTAAGGCTAGTGAAAACACAGCTAACTTGATATCAGATATTATTCCTAAAACTGTGTGCAATGTAACCAGATCATTGAACTCTGTTATTTTACAGTCCATCCTTCCAGTACGTTTACAGTGGAAAGATAAAATGGTTATAACACTTGCCTTTTATGATAATGGAAGTAGCGGTTGTTTTCTACTAAAAGACACACAGACGAAATTAAACGCCAAAGGAATCCCAACGAAAGTACAACTATGCACCATGCACGGTCAAAACATGTTAGACTCAGAAATAATAAATAACCTGTTGGTGCTTGACATTGATGGCAATAATGGAATAGAATTACCTAAAACGTACACAGTAGGTGAAATACCCGTCACACTCTCACAGGTTCCTACACCAGAAATCGTTGGTAAATGGAAGCACCTTCAAGATATAGCAAAGAAAGTCCCTCAACTTATCCAAGGATGTGGAATCGGACTTCTCATCGGTAGTAATTGTCCTGTAGCCCTAGGACCGTTAGAAGTAAAACCTAGTGAAGGAAATGGACCATTCGCCATGCGCTTGCCTCATGGTTGGACCATATGTGGACCAGTCGCCGTAGAAGAATCTTTGTTAACAAACGAAGTCTCGGTAAATCGCATAACTGTTAGAGAAATAGAAAGGTTCAAGGAAATATTCTCACCGCAAACAGTTCTTGAAATCTTTGAAAGAGACTTTAATGTGGATCTAATCAATCAAAACTCAGAAGAATATGGTTTGTCTCAAGATGACAGGAAGTTTATAGAAATTGTCAATGATGGTATAAGTAACGTAAACGGTCACTATCAGATCCCACTTCCGTTTCGTAAAGAGCATATTCTCTTCCCAGATAACAGGCTTCAAGCTGTTAAACGCTGCGAATGGCAGAAGAAAAAGATGTCAAGCGATTCTCGGTATTATGAACATTATAAACGTTTTATTCAAGATAGTATCGCCAAGGGTTTTATCGAGAAAGTTCCTGAAAATGCCTCACCGAAACAAGGACATTCGTGGTATCTTCCTCATCGTGGAGTTTACCACCCTCGTAAATTAAATAAGATACGAGTAGTGTTCGATTGCAGTGCGCAGTATCAAGGTATCTCTTTGAACAATCAGCTACTACAGGGCCCAAATCTGACAAACTCATTAATTGGTGTTTTAACTCGGTTTCGGGACGAACGTATCGCATTTATGGGAGACATCGAATCGATGTTCCATCAGGTAATGCTCCCACCTCAACATCGAGACTACCTACGACTTCTATGGTGGAAAAATGGCGACATCGATAATGACTTAGAGGATTTCCGTATGTGTGTCCATCTGTTCGGAGCTGCCTCATCCCCCAGCTGCGCAAACTTTGCATTAAAGAAGACTGCGGATAAATCAGAGGAAGAGTTTGGTAAAACTGTTGCAGATGTGATTCGTAATAACTTTTATGTTGACGATTGCCTTAAAAGTGTCGAGACTCCAGAAATAGCTAAAGACTTAATCCAAAGGTTGCAAGGTGCATGCCTTAAAGGTGGATTTAGGTTGACCAAGTTCATCTGTTCTGATAAAGAGGTTCTTGAATCCATTCCAGAGGACGAAAGGGCTAAGGAAGTTCGCGAGTTAGATTTAGATTTGGACCTACCAGTAGAACGGGCACTGGGCGTAAAATGGGTTGTTTCATCAGACACTTTTGGTTTCACAATCACCTTAAAGGACAGACCTTTAACCCGCAGAGGTATTTTATCCATGGTATCGTCAATCTATGACCCACTGGGATTTGTTTCTCCGGTAACGTTAACAGCCAAACGAATACTACAAGGTTTATGCCGCCTTGATCTTGACTGGGATGATGCTATTCCAGTAGAGTATCAACGACAATGGTTAAACTGGAAAGATAATCTCCTAGCTTTAGAGAAGATAGAGATTC